TCACATATTCTCACTCCTCTCTCCCGCTGCAATTGCTGTAGCACAGGTTTTTTTCCCCTTTCTTAAATACATTATTCCAGAGGCGTGACCACCATTGCTGATGGGCTCGGCCTTGGCCAGCGGTGAGTCTATCTTGGAGCGAGCCGGTGGCATTGGCTGTATTGGACATTGCAGCTTCTCACAGAAGCCACCCCTGTAGCCCATCCCACTACCAAAACCTTGCCACACAAACCCAATACAAATAAATACATGCTTTTGTCTTTAGTTATGTAGTTTAAAGATGTAAGTGGATAAAATAAGGGCACAACTGTAGTGTTTTTAATTTATCGTGGCTTGATTTCACTCCATCGTCACTCCTGTAGTTTCTATTAGGTTATTGTGAGAATTATGCTATTAAAAAATCCTGCGCTTTTAATCACTTCTAGCCTTCTATGTATCGAAATAACTTTACAAAACAGAAATTGCCATTTCTCTTTTAAACTCCTTCCAAAAAAAAAAAAAATCTCTGGGGTGAAAGGGACTCAGCAGGCTGTAAACTGTATCAAAATTCCTTCCTGTCTTTCCACAAATTTAAAGAAGCATCAAATCATAATACTTGTTAGTAACAAGGTGAGATCAGTGTGTCTCTATGCATATTTTCTGTAGACTTTTTTCTATATCCTTTATGTCAGTTTCTTTGGGTTTATTTTCACTTAGTGTCTGCATGCAGGGGGACCATACAAGGTAGACAGGAGAAATTGGATAGACTGTTGTAAAAATAGATATCTCTTTCAGTGAGAAGAGAGTTTTGCCTCTCTAGATTATCAACGTGCAAGCAAGAATGCTTACGTTAAACATTTTGATAGTGTCTAGAAAGTGGAATCCTAGTCTTCAGATGCTGCTGTGACTTAGTAATACTTGGATCAATAAGTTTCTAAGACAATAACATTTTTAAAGGATCACTAATCTTAAAAATTTGTACTATTTGAAGTGGTTTATTTACATAATCTTTTATTTGGCTTTGTCCTTCTTGTAAATACCAAATTGATTTATTTTTATTGCAAATTTGATACAGTTATTTGAATTAGGGGTAGGGTTGTTGAGATAGTGTACAATGTACAATTGGTCATAATACTTTCTTTAGTGAAATTTACCTGTGTTTCTGAAAGATGGATTAGTGTGTGTTTGATAAATCTACAAGTTATTTTTTTACTAAGGTTAATACACGTAACATACATATCTTTTTTAAATAAGAAAAGGTGGGAAGCGTTCTTCTTGTTAAAAAATGTTCATCTTGTTCTAGCCTTAGTAAATGGACTGGTTTTAGGAAATCTCTAATTTTTTTGTCACCTTTGCTCAGGAGCATTGTGCGATGAATGTGGTTACTCAAGTACTTAAAAATTGTTCAAACTTAAAAAACTTAAAAAAAGTTCAAACTGGATGATGGAAATCAGGTGATTATTGTAAATATTGATGTCTGTAGTGATAGTGCGTTCTTGAGTGTCAAGCAATATGTGTTGCCTTTAAGCTTTCAAAACTCAGAAATAAGGTAATGTAGATCTCTGGGAAAATTTTTCTCTAAAGTCTTCAAGTGAAGTAACTTTCTATGAGTATACTGTGACTTAAAGAGTTCTAGACTATAGAAATCCTGTCAATCCTGTGGTACGCAGGAAGTTCATGTGTGTTCATAAGTCTCCTCACCTGCAGAATTTGAGCTTTTTGTTTTCAATTGTGTTCTTTAATGTTATATGCCTCAGCAATTGTAACTGCTCTTCCAATAAGCATGATGTTTTTAATGGAAGTGAGTGTACAGTGACTTACATTTGAAAATAAGACAAAGTTATGAATGTTTAGACAAGCAGGAAATAATGGCATAAATTTAAAATGCCATTTATCCTTTTTTCTGAATATACGTGCTATTCTTTTGCATGGTAAGAGTACATCTTCTAGACATACAAAGCATTATAAAGAAAGAATGTATTTTTTTAATTGTTATAAATGCCTAATATTAAGTGTGCTAATTTTGAAAGTAATAGTTGAGAAAAATGACATATATAGTCTGTCTCAGTTCTCTGTATGGTCTGCAATGGTCAAAATCTTACCTGCAGAGGGTGGAGTTGGTTCAGTACTGGAAAAAAAGAAATGGATCCCTGTGGTGCCATTTCAGTCACTAGAGTGAGGGTTTCCAAGTTGCCATTTTTGAATGCTATCTTAGTAGCTAAACGCCATCTCTGACGTCAAAGTTGGCGAAGTAGCTGACAGTGGCAGTTAACTGTGGGGATGTTTGAGGGCCCTGAACAACAACTTAGCAAACAGCATTTTTGGAGGTAAATCATTCTACCGTTACTCATTTCCGCAATGAAGAACATTCCTTTCTCTTCACTGTTTCCTATCTCAGTTACAAGCATTGTTTTTCAAATCTCCACTTAGAGGTATCATGGTACGACAGTAGACTGAATTACCTTTTGAAGTTTCTGCTGTAGTTTCCATGAATGACTTAACTTGGTTATCTATTTCTGTTTTTAAGTGAAAGCAGTCCTTAAGAAAAGAGAGTATGGACCAAAATACACACAGAATAACTTCATCACTGGAGTCAGAGCAATAAATGAGTTTTGTCTTAAATCCAGGTACGATGGCTTTGAGTTGAAATTTAAATTGTTAATATTTGTTTGTTTGTATGTGCTTTAAAAGTATTTGTGATTGTAGAGTGATTTTGCACAGCAACTTTTTCTAAATGCTTTTGTGGTGTACATAATCATAAGTGGCTGAAGTTAGTTCTTGTTTGCTTAGTGTTACAGTGGATTAGGAACTTGTACTCAGCTTGCATGTTTCAGTAGTTGCTTCTTGAAGTAATTTATTTGTACTTACATGACATAAATATAGTTGGGGAGATTCCACCTCTAGAGTAGCTAGTTACAGGGAGGGATGGCAAATAACTCTTGTTTTCAGCATTTTGGGGTCGTGATGGTTTGACGTGAACATCTCCAGATCAGTGGAAACCTTGTATTACATGAGGTCTGTAATTTGGTATAAAATATAATCTGATTCATTGTAGCCTAACTGTTGTCACTTGATTCTTATTTACTGCCTTTTGCTATGTGCCATGCCTGCCAGCAGGTCTTAGTGACTATCGCTATAGTTGAGGTGTCTGTTGAATTTCATGCAAGTCACGTGTGTGACCCATATTAAATCTAAAGGCTTAGCAGCTTTGTTTGTAACTTTTTCTGCTGTCACTGTTCCTCCCCAGTTTTTACATATAGAGTATGTCACCAGACTTGGTCTTTGATGAAAATCCAGTCCCAAATTATGCTTAGTCCTCTGCCATATTTTTATCATAACTGGCTTGTTGTGCAGAGAAATAACTAGCTACAGTTTTGCTGGATTGACCAAAAGGAGGGGGGAAAAAAAATTAGTAGATAATTGGTTGGGCTAAAAATGAAACATTCTGTTCTATTTAAAAAAAAATTTTAAAAAAGTCCCTGATGCTTCTCGGTGTAGATGCCCTAATGTGTAGCTCAGCACAGGAAATTTATCTGTTCCCCCAAGTAGTTCTGTTTTCTCCAACCTTTTGCAGCTTGAGCTGGGGGTGTAGGTTTCGAGGTTAAATTTCTTAACTTTTTATGTCACATGACTTCTGATTTCCATTTAGAGAGTTATGAACCCTCTTGTTTAGGACTTGTCCACATTATCAGTTACATGCGGATCATTCATTGGATGTTTTATTATTCAATGTTTTATTACTTTGTCTTCCATGTATGGTATTTAATAGTTTGAGGTCATAATTTGGAACAGCATCCTAGGGATTGCTTGCTTCGTGTTGCATATCTGTTCTGTTTGGCTCAAGTAAACAACTTCAGGTTTTTTGTACTGCAAATTAATAGTATCAAAATTGTGGAAGATCACTCAGACGTAAAAGTAAAACTAGAACAATACGAACTTTTTCTTACACTGAACTGTTTGTCCACTTCCCTTAGTGATTTAGACCAGCTGAGGAAGATTAAACGACGAAGCCCCCATGATGACACTGAGACTTTCACTGTGTACCTGAGATCGGATGTAGAGGCAAAGTAAGAACATTTTTATGAAGGAAAATGTTTGGATCATTTAAAATGGATTATATGAGAGAGAGAGAAAAAAACCTTTGAAGGTCAGGTTTACAATGTGGAAGGGCAATGTTTTCCATTTGCTATCTGGACACATTTTATATCCTCATTTTTGTAATAATTACATGGTGTATATAAAATTAGAGAGTATGTTTCATGTGTCCAAAGATTAATTGCTTGTCCTCAGCTCCCTCTTGCCCAGCTTTTTATTCTGTAAAGTAGTCTGTGTGGCTTCTTATCAGAATGATGTTCTGATTTTAGGAAAGGCATTTGTGATGTAGTCAAACTGGAAAGATGTTGCATAAATAGAAGCATTGTTAAGTTACTTTTACTCTGTGCAGGTCTCTTGAAGTTTGGGGTAGTCCAGAGGCTCTTGCTAGAGAAAGAAAAAGACGTAAAGAGGCAGAGATCAAGTACAGAGAAAGTGAGTATAGAGTTTCCAAATAACTTCAGATGTAAACAACGAAGTATGGTTGTTAGAAATCCACTAGATGGTGTGTTATTTCACTGAGAACATAAACATTTGGAATTAGCAATTACTGATCAGGTTTTATAGCACAGTGTTAGAGTAACACGTTACTATCTATGCAGATACGCTCTGTTACTGTCTTACAATTTATGTGATATAGCAAGACTATATATTCAGCTGAGATCTGTAGTCATACTTTGTTTTTTGGGGGGCTTTCAATTCTTAGATTATAATTAACATCTTCAATGGTTTGGGATTTTTTTAACTGAGAATTTTGAAAAGACTTAAAACCAATCCAAATTTTGATACGATACCGTTACTCGTTTGTTTTTCCTCTGAAATGAATTCAGCTTACCTTTGTGCTTCAGACGGGGGAATCATCCCCAAGTCATCTCTTTGCTTAAAATTATTGTTGTCCTCCTTGCTGGTATTATCAATGACGGGTACAGTCAAATCAGTAGTTTGTAGTGGATTTTGTTCTGTCTAGTCAGTTAAAAATCACAGGAGAGGCAATATTGCTTCAAGGTTCTTACCTCTAATTTTAAGGTGCCTAATTGGCACCTAATTGTTTTGGAAACAGTTTTGCCACTGGAACACCCTCCTAGTAAAAAGTCTAGAGCTGCAGGCATTTGCTAAGGTACCTGTAAGTGTTTGTACTGAAAGTGCAGTCAGTACCTTCAACATCCAAAAAATTAGGTTAAAAAATACTACTCAGTCATAATAGCATAGTGCAACATTGTATACTTGAAGCGGTAACTCCCTTTTATTTACGGACTGTCCTTGTACTTCACCGGTTGTTTTAATCGATTTAAATGTGTACAATGTATTTTGTGTGACTTTGTGGGGGAGAATTTAGCACTACAGCTTCTAAATACTGTTAGTATGCCAATGCTTATTTTGAAGTTACTGAACATCATTAGTGAATGGAAGAAATACTGATGTTAAGAGACTTGCTTTGAAACATCCTTTCCCCTCTTCTTCATGGTTAAGGGGTGGGAGGGGGGCAGTAGAATGCCTGGATTTGGTGCAGTGTGTTTTGAGTTTTTCCCTCTGTGTATCATCCTTTGTTGGTAAAAATGGCAATGACATATAGGATCATAACTGATCATATTTGGCATTTTGCATGAAACACACAATATGTGTTTCTGATTAACAATACTAGGAGAGTTGTTCACAAAGAAAGCTAGACCGTGTAGCTCTTACTAGAAGTTGACTGCTGCATAAAAAAAAATAAGTTTCTGAAACTACTGGTTACTAGTGTGTATTCATTATAACAATTTTGTGTTGCAGATCTATTTAGAAACCAAAGGCTGTTATGGGAATACAGGGAGTTCTTTGGAAATACTAAGGTAAGGCGTGTTTAAAAGTGTTTTTTTTTGGCTAAAAAAAATGCCATGAGATGTACTATGACACCTTTTGAAGGAAAAAGTTGTGAAACAGTTGCAGAAGCTTAACTAACTGAATATTATTGGAAGATTTATACCGGATCTGTCTCTGTAATGCGGTGGTAAATGTTACGATGCCAGTTTAAATGAGTTCCTCCTGTGGCAGTGTAAGGTGTTTTTTTGTTTGTTTGTGTGGGTTTTTGGTGTTTTTTTTTTTGTTGTCAGTTGCCTTCTTATTAACAAAATTGCAGCTGTATTTGTGATTTCATCTATAGCCAATAAACACGTATAGTAAATATATTGCTAATATAAAGAAATGGAGTAAGTTTCTTAAGGAGAAAAAAACCCCCAAACATGAACACTTTGCTCTGTGCCCTACTGGCCCTTGGTCTTTGCTTAAGCAGACCTATCCCTAGATCCAGGTGCTCTGGTAGAGTGGTTTCTTAATGTTTCTGCTGCACAGCTGGCTCCTGTCCTTATGGTTGCAGTGGCCCCTGCTGGAGGCTTTGTTTGTTGTTTATCCTTTTTATAGCCATCTGTAGAAATGTGTAAGACCCAACTGCAGTTTGGGTCAGCATTCAGTAGTAAATTAGTAGGCTTCAAGGACTGTAGCTTTACTTCTGCAATACAGGGCAATGCAAATTTTTTATTTAATAATGTGTATGGTAGGGCCTTCATGAGGTCAAGATTTGGTTATTTTATTTTAATAATCTCTTATTTCTTTATGTAGCCACGCTCCAGCGCAGCAGCTATGTTTTTCAAGGGACCAGGGAAGGTGGTAATGGTAGCTATTTGCATGTAAGTTTAAAAAAAAAAATAAAATGTTTTGTTTATGCAAATATAAACCAATTTACTTTTACTATCCTGGAAATGAGAACAGTCTGTGTATTCAAGCTAAAGATACCTGTGTCTCTGTAACTGAAGTTAATAGATTTGCGTATTTATTATTGATGGGAGAGAGTTTAGGTAAATACATTCATCAATATATGGAGATCAGGAGTAGAATATATCTCTGATCAGAGAAGAACAATTTTTTTGTAGTTGACCAGACTAAACAGTTTATTAAAGCAAAAGCTAAAATTTTGAAGGACATGAAGAGGCAGGCATTTAAAGTTGTCCTTTTTTCTGGCTCCTTCTTGAGAGGAAGTTTTTCGTATGTTTTAAATAATCTTCCATATAACAGACAGCAAAAATTCAGTCTTTCTGCTGTTGTTAAACTTTTTTCCTCTCTAACTGAGAAGGGGATATTTTAGGAGGTTTTTGCCTTTAACTTGACTTGCAGGTTTGAATGAAACAACCCTAAACATCCTTATTTAAAGCAAAGGAACACAGAGACTATCTGGCGTTAAATACGTGGAAGTGTGCTAAGTTTATCTCAGGAAATGATGGCTAAAATTTACTTGCCATAAAACCTGTGAATTTTTAAAATAAATTTGATTTTATAAAAGGTTTTGCTAAGACACTGTTGATACAAAGGAGCAAAATAGAAACAGGGAAAATACTTTTTTTGAGCACAGGAAACACCGTTTTGAGCAGCAAATAAGCCTTTGGCTTTTCCTACAAAACTATCACTTTTTGCTTGGGGAGAAAAGACTCACAAAGCTTGTTTGACTGAAAACCTCCATTTTGCATTATTGAATATTTGACTAGTAATTATTCAGAGCTTTCCAAGTTAAAAACACAGAAGAACTGCTAGTATGGATGTTTGTAAGGGTGGTGGGGGTGGGGAAGGGGAGGGATATTGTATGGTCACTTCCACCTCCTTCACTTTCTTACAATGATCTAGAGACAACAGACCTTTACTCCTGCTTTGTAAACAGGGCATTGCCATAAACATTGCACTCTCCTCACTTTAGAAATACCTTTTGGATGATTAGGTACTTTTATAGAGGAATACCTCGCAGCCAGGCCAGCAGAAGTTTGTAGAGGCTGTTGTATTGCTCAGTCATGCTTCTGTAGAGCTTTTTTAAAAGTTAAGGATCTTGTGACCCTCAAATAAATACCTGATGACTTTTCAGAGATTTAAGTCAAGGCCACCATCAGTGATGCTTCGTGTGTGGCCCTGATCTTGACATCAGCAGATTTTTAATGGCTTCTGGTTTTGGGTCAAGAAGGGCCAATCTGTCTTAACTTTTTCCTTTGGAATGGTTTGGTAGGCTTTTCACAAAATTCAGGCTTCCCCAGTGAGGATCAAATGTGGTTCAGTCAAAAGCAAAGTTCGTCTCTACAGATCCACGTGTCAAAGTGTAGACCAGCTGCACTGGCACACTCTATGTTGTTAATAGAATTCTGTGTACAAGGAAAAACTTTGAAGGTCTGTTAGAGAACTACAGGAAGGTAATGTCTTTTATCAAAAAGGAGATGATCTATGTTAGCAAAATGTTCTTCAGAGTATGGCATTTTCGAAGTGATTTCATTGTCATGCTAATGCTTTACCTTTTAAACAATACAAAGTTTGCACGGTTTATAATTTTTTTTTTAAAAAATACTGGTGGTCAAGGATGTTCGTAGTGTTATTACTTCTTTGGAAATAATATGATGAAATGTGTTTAGCTTTCAAATCCGGAGCCCAAATAGGAGATTTTTTCCCATAGATTCATAATGGATCTGAATATTTTCAGTTTGATTTTTTTTTTTAATTTTGACATTTACTGTCCTTTCTTTAAAACCCTAAATATTTTATGTAAGTAGACAGGACAGTTGTGTAAATCAGGCTGGGTCCTTCTAGACCAGTATCTTATGCTGTGAGGTAGAGTATAAAAAAGTGGGCAATCACATGATGGTGCAATTCCTTGTATATTTCTCAATTCCCCATAATTCCTGTTCCCCATATACATCTTGGGGTTTTGAGGTGGGTATCTTGAAGCAAATTTGGAATGATAAATACATAAAAGCAAGTATTAATGCCCTTTAATTTTTTCAAGTTTACATTTCAGTCAGGATCAATTTATTTGAATTTTTTTAATTGTAATTTGAAGTTAGGAACCTTGATTTGAATAATTGATTTTGATCTACTTTTGCGTTTCTGTATTTTTTTTTTTCAAAGAAAGGCTGGTTCTGTTCATCTATCAGTACATTTTAAAATTACCAATTAAATTTAGATTCTACACTAAAATTGGCAAGACTTCTGACAGCAATGAAGATGAATATCTGTTCCAACACTTTTTTTTTTTTTTTTTTTTTTTGCATTTTGTTGGTGAACGTCTGCCTCCTGTGTGGACTTTGGAATACAGTTATAAACAGTTTGTTGAATGAAACTGCGTATTTTCTAAATGCAGAAGAGAGGTTTATTAGAAAGTGCTGTATAGTAGTAGGTGTAATAAGCAAGAGAATTGTACCTAATGAATTGTGGCAGGTTTTTTGTGTGATTTGTTTGTTTGTTATTTCTTGGCATGATGCTCAAAATATTACATTAAGTCTTTTTCAGACTTTACCTAGCTTTGGTTTAAGTTCTGTTAAAATTTCCTACTCTTTCAGGTCCACACAGATAGAAATGAGGTAGCTAAACCAGTTCAGTTCATTTCAGTACAATAGAGAAAATACTTTCTGAATTGGTGGTCGCTGGTGTAAAAGAAAACTTGGTTTCAAACTGATTCAGAGTATTTTAGCTGCCTTCTCAGAGTCTGCTGGTTTTGGATTATTTTTCCTCTGCTGCTTAAAAACTGTGTAGTGTTTCTGCAACAGAATTTAGGCTTTCATAGGGCTTATTGTTTTCAAATGCAGTGATGATTTTTTTTTTAAAGTAGTACATATTTTACTTGCAGTAAAAACCTGTCTCTCTTTGGTTTTTTCCCCTCCAAAACTGACTTTATCTATTGTCTTATACTGATGTGAACATCTAGTCAGACAGGAAGCACCAAATAGCCTTGATGGATCTGTAGATTCTCTAGGTTTTTTGTGATTATTTCCCATGTAGAGTTCTTCATCTTTCTGTCCTGTTTCCAGCTTGCTGGGCATCATTAACAGATTGGTTTTGCTATGCCGGACATCTGAAAATCGTAGCGTGGTTTCTTTCTCAATTTCTAGGATGTCAGATCCCCTGACAAATTCAGAATTTGTAGAGGTGAAAAAAAATATCAGCTGAGTGCCTGTTGTGTCATCTGAACAGGTGGGGGTCCCACAACTGAATTGTACCTTCAGATAAGCTGTCAACTCCATTAATACAACATTGAGAAGAACAATACAAAAGTCAAGAGACTGTGCTCATGAATCCCACTGTAACTTATTTCATTCTCTTTCTGCGCTAAAGATGCACTATGCTGTGAGTTGGAAGAACTTGTAATTAACACAGGGAGTTTAAATTATGGTTTAGTGTTACAACAGCCTTCCTTTCTTCTTGGGTTATCCAATAACTTACGCATTTTTTTACTTCCCACCTATAAATTATGGTGATGCTTCACCATCTCATGAGGTAATAAGACTAAATTAAAAATTGTAAAGCACATTCAGGTCCTTGGATGAAAGGAGGTATAGAAAACAGTGCTATCTCTTGCTTGAAGAAGTGGATGTACTCTCACAGAAATTCTTTAAGGATGACCTTGGAAATGAATGTTATTTAATCAACTGTATATTTTGGTGTATGGCAAGGGGCTGGACTTGTGCTTCCTCTAACTTAAGTGTAATTTCTTAGCATGTGGTTGTTCAAAAACGCGACTACAAGATGTTGTTAATACTTACTTGTAGCACTTAATTTCATTTGGATACTTCTAAAAATTGCCAGCAAGCTAAACTCAAATATATAAAAAACGATAGAGGAGAATGTTGTAATCCTCTGTTCTGATTTTCTTTGCGATATGATTGTAACAATTAACCTACTGATTCTGAAAACGAATGTTTGAAGTGAGAATGTAGACTCGGATTTTAGTGCTGATAGTTACCTTTGTCTGTACAACATAACACAGTGCTTACTGCAGTGAGCTTGTAACCTTAAAAAAGATTTGACAAGTCACACTGGACATCTTAATGGAAAAGTTGCATAGATCATTTTTACAGCATAATCTAATGACAGCCTTGTCTTCCTGTCTGTTGTCTTATGTTTGTATTCTACTGGGAGTTGCCCAAGCTGGGATTGAAGTGGGGAACCTTGCACTCCAGTATTAGGAGGGAATGTGTAGGAGGCAAAGGATTGAAGAAAGAGAAAAGAAAATCATTAAGGCTTGTATCCTCTTACTGGTAGGCAATTAGTTTTTCTGAGTAGTGGATGTGATGGTAGTTTTCAAGAAGTGTAATTTACCCAGGAGCTAGAAGTTAACTATTTTTGATAAGTAAGTTTATATCAAGTTTAGCTGAAAGGGCTTTTTAACAGTAACCCTGCAGAAAATCCCGTATGGCTTATCTGCCTGTACAGGTCTCTAATGATTAAACTGATACTTGGTTTCACCACTTGCTGGCAGGTAATGCATGATTATGCAGCACTTGTGGTTTTGCTGGAAATATTGAAGACCCAATATTCTGTTGTTCTTTATCTTATTTCTTTTCTTTGTTTTCAGAAATGGCTTGAATTTTTTCTTTAAGCTACTTGCTTGGGTTTACACGGGTTCTGCAAGTATGTTTTCAGAAGCCATACATTCTTTAGCAGACACGTGTAACCAGGTGAGTATTTTTTTCCATTCTGCTTAAGTTAGTACTTACACAGTTATACTAATATATATACTATACACTATACACTTAGACATTATGGTTTGCCTATGCTTTCTAAATAGGAAACATCAGAGAAATGAAAAAATGAAACCAGTATTTTATTTAGGACAACTAGAGCCCATGGCAAAATATTTTCTTTACAAAGTTTGCTTGTAGATAACATTGACATTGTAGAGAAGCCTAGAAATGCCAAGTTTGTTAGCCACAACTCATATTAAAAATTACTCTCAGATTCTGCTGTGCTGTATATTTATAGTGCTCTTCCTGTTCAATACCTGTGATAATTTTTGTACTGTTTTGTATGATTTATATGCTTCCTAGAATTAGTAGTAATACATTCTAGGAGCAAAAAAAAGCTAGTACTTAATCTAATGACCATTTGAATAATATCTGGCAAAACAGTCTTAAAGGTGCTTTGTAAATAAACAGTTTCATCTAGGAGAGGGTCTTTTTGTATTTTACTTTATTATTAAATAATTTCTGGTTTCTGTCATTCAGATTACAAAGCCTGCCCGGAGTGTGACAAGCTCTGTGTGCATGCAGTGGGAAGATGATGTGCTCTTCTGTGTGTGTGTAGTATACGTGTATATTTTTCAGCTTCCCAGAGACAAAAGTGAACCTCACTTACAAAGTAATTTTATTGTTATATATGGTTTTTATCAAACTGTAGGCAGATGAAGACGTGTTTTGCCAGAAAGTCACGTTACTTTAGAAACACTGCTAAGCCCAGAGCTCGCTCTACTGTTCCCCAATCTGAGTGCAAAGCTGTTGTTACTCTGTTGCAAATTTACTTGCCAAAACTAGTGGTTTCAACTAGTTGTTTGTACAGGTTTATCTAGCTGCTCTTTTATTTTTTTTATATTGATGCCAGTAATTTAATGGAAGGTTTATAAGCTAACAGTGACTTTGTGGCTTAGGTATTGTTTAGAATAATAATGATGAGAATTTGAGCATCTCTGTTTCTTTTTCTATTCCTAGACTGCCTTAGCAGCCTCTCACAACACAAGTAGCTGCATACCTGGCACGTTTACTTTCATAGGCGATGTGGCAGACACAGAGCTAGGCATGCAATATTAAAGTGCAGGGACAGAATTAATGTTTTTCCCACAATTTTCTTTAGTATGCTTGAGGCATACATTACGAGACCTTGACATTTCCCCTCCTTCCAGTGTAGAAAGAATCTTTCTTGTTGCAGTTTTGGTATAGCAAGGCTTTGGAAACAAAAAAAGTACTTAAAAGATGAGTGGCTGAAACCCTCATGCAGCTCAGGCAAGAGGAGTCGTTGGATAGCTTGTGGCTTGTGTAAAATGCAACGGTCTTGTATTCCTCCAAATTTGAGGAATGTGTGGAACCACAGAGCAGACTTAGTATGTTTAAAAGCATTTTAACATAATTTTGGCTACTTTTTTGTGTCAGTTGTACCTATGCTTCTCTGTCCAGAAGGACTGACTTGAAGACTCGCATTTTGTTTACTATTTTTCCAGTATGTTTTCTCTTTTATACAACCTTTCAACTGTTCCAGCTGTAAAGTGAAGACAGGGATGCTACTAACTGAACCGATAATGCTTATATTGGGAGGCAGACTTAAAGTGATTTTCTTTTGGTCAAGTCTGTCAATTTATAGGTGAACCACGTTTGATAGTGATATTATCTACCACTTACATGTGGAAGAGCTATTCTCTTTTTAAATGTGAAATTTAAATGTTCCGCTGGAAATGCAGGGGTTTTTGCTCAAACATTCAAGTATGTGCTTTTGGGAAAAACACGGGAGAAACCTTGCTGCCTCAAAGCAACTTGCTGCTGCAAAGACTAAAGTATCTGAATTTTAATACTTGTTATTATGTTTCTGTAATTCATAGTCCTAAACCAAAGCATGTGCTTTGCAAAACTGAGGTCTAGATTTATAACTTACTGCATGAATAGTTTAATACATGCCTAATTAAATGTATCCCAAATAGGCCATTTAGCTAGCAAGAGGTTTTTATTTCTTCCTTAAAAGTATTTTTTTCTTTAGTTTGGAGAGTATAAAGTTTCCTCCTGAAGGAAGCTGCAGTTTCAGATTATTACTTTAATTGTCGTATGCCATCACCATAGTCTCTGTATAATTTCTCTTGAAGAGGTATTTATTTAAATAGCTTTTTTTCCTGAACAACTTCATTCCTTCACATTGAAGCAGGGCAACAACATTTGTGATGGCATGTAATGTTCACTTTCGGTTGCAATTCTAAAATTATAATTAACAGTCATTCTTTTATATATATATACACACACAGAGAGGCTATGTAATTATTTATATATTATATATTTAGGTATAATTAACAATTTTTGAGGGGCAGTATATTTAGATGACAGATTTTAAGGATTGTATTCCAGCTGTAATAAATATTAGTAACAAAGCATATATGCAGATCAGCAAATTTCATCTGCCTTTATCTTTCAAGTTTAGTTGATGTAGAATGTTTCTAAATTTTTTTTTTTAAATAAAGTTTTTTTCTTTTTTTCCTGAATAGGCGTTGCTAGCTCTGGGCATCAGTCAGTCTGCAAGGACGCCTGACCCTAGTCATCCGTAAGCTTTTTGAGTAAATAATGATTTTGGTAATTATATATAGCAGTAAGGTAGTTCTTGTTTGTGTGTCACCTTGTTCTTTTCAGTCTGCTGTTTTGTATCATTTCTGAAATGCATTGCTTCTGATTTTACAATAGATAAAATAAGAAAACTGGTTTCTTCCAAACTGCAGGAGTAGTAGCTTCAGTGGCTTGATGGATGTTACGTTTCCTGATTTTTGTGGGGGTTTTTTTTGTTTTTGTTTTTTTTGTGGTAAACTTCTTGATGTGTGTTATTTTAGTTGACATTGTTTCTTTTTAAGTTATTCTGGGCTCTTCTGCCTCTTCCAATGGATAGATTTGCTTGTTTTTAAACACTGTTCATGTGAATGACAAAATTTTTTAAAAATAAAAAATACTGTCCTCTTCCTGTTTTCAACGAAGTGCTTTTCTGCAAGGCAGCTATTTGTATCATAAGGAGATGCGTTTGACTTAAACTACCCTTCATTTTTATCTGAGTAATAGGGATATTACTGTTAAGTTCTTACAGCTTCATGACGGTTAGAAGCTATACTCTCCATGATATTTTCTTGGTGTTGACCTGCTTTACACTTCATGTGTTTGGACAAGTCATTCATCCTGTAAGCACTAGTTCAAAATATGTCTAATTTACAGAATTACTTAAGCTTCTCTTCATTAAAAGCATCAGGTAATTTGGAAAATATTTTAATCCTAAATTTGTCTGTATTCATTTTGTCTCCTTCCCCTCTCTTACTACTTTTCCCTTCGTCCTCAATATAGTCTTTTGTACTATTGGTTTTTAAATGCTGCTAAAGAAATGTACTGTTTGTAGTAGCAGTTAATACCAAAACAAGGAATAAAGGTACACTTTTAATATTGCTTTAGCTGTTCCCACTGCTCTTAATAATGGCAAGTGTTGAAAGTCTGCAGTTAGCTGAACTACTTAACAATGTCACAAATTTTATTCCCTTTAAATTAGCATTATAAAATATGTAGACTAGCTGCCTGTAAGGCTAGAGTTTTCGTTTAGAAGTAGCATTTCAGTAAAATGTAAAAGTGATATAAGCATTTGGGGTTTTTGTTTTGTGTTTTGTTTTGTTTTTTACAGTAGTAAAATCCTTAGTCTTTGCAGAAGAGCTAATACAGCTGTGTAAACAGCTTGTTTAAAAACGAATTAGAAAAATATCCATACTTGATAATCCTTTTCCAGGTGGCTGCTTCTTCCTTGGATTAGGTTGAGTTTTGCAGCTTTGTCTTAAATAGATGTCCAGTCCTATGATGATAATTTAAGACACATAAAAATTAATGGAAAAAACTTGTGGGTATGTTTGCAGAGATACAGAATTTTGTTTTCCTAAGTCACTTTCTTTGTTTCCATCTAGGTATGGTTTCACAAACATGCGCTATATTGCCTCCCTGATTAGCGGGGTGGGCATTTTCATGATGGGCGCAGGACTTTCTTGGTATCATGGGATTATGGGTTTACTCCACCCTCATCCTATAGAATCTCTTCTCTGGGTAAGCTGATCTTATTTGATATCGTATCTAACACTGGTGACTTGATAGAAAGTAATCGCACAGTCTGAAATTCACTTCCGGAGTCAGTTTGAATCCCAACACAATTAACTCAAACCCTCCTTAATGAGAATATGTTTTAAGAAAAAAATCATGTTAAGCTATAGCTGATCTTATAGCAAAGTGAGATGTTCTTAAAACGCTACATCTTCCCTTCACCCCTCCCAAGAGGTCTTCCTTCTTCCTCTCCTATTTTGCAATACGTTGCATAATTCAAATATTGTTGGTTGCCTTCTGTTAAGGGACACCTACCTGGCACAGTGGGTGATGAGGTGCTGGAATGCTGTGTTTGGATAGTCTGTGGTGAAGAGATCTGTAGACATATGCGTATAACAAAATAATTGAGACTCTTTGTTTTTTTTTTCATGCAGGCGTACTGCATTTTAGCGGGGTCGTTGGTATCTGAAGGAGGTATGCAGTTTCCAGAATTATTTCTGTTTAAGTATTCATAGTCTCTAAGAGTACAATGTGACTAATTACAGTAGTAATTGGTCCTTGCTTACACGGTAAAGTTTTGAGCTCTGCAAATACTTGTGTTGTAAACAAAAAAAAAAGTGTGAAAACTTTTACCTGTCTATATAATAAGTTGAAGAACACACCATTTGGAAAGTGTACGTAGAATGCCTTTTTGGTACTAAACGATCAGTGAATATAGCTGTTCCGATTTGTATGGGAGACGTGCATGTAGAAAAGAAGGTAACTTAATGCTTTGTCATTATTCAAAGTATCAATAATCAGAGCTTTCATGATGATCTGTGCCATGATATAAAGTTCCTTCTTTTCAAAACGGAAACAAGTCTTTTTTGCCTCTAACCATTTTCAGCAACTGCTTTGGTGTTGTTTCAGCTACCCTTCTCGTTGCTATAAATGAAATTCGCAGGAGTGCTCGAGCCAAGGGTCTGTCGTTTTATCAATATGGTATGTGTCAGTATAGCAATAAGGTATGTGATTATTTAAAACAATCTGTTTGCCAGTATTAGCATAATGATAGCAATGAGATCTATTTTCTGTTCTAGTAACAAATACATTTTACAAATTGGGTGAAAACCTGTTGATTTAAGTAACGCTACTTAGACACTTGCTGAACTACTTGCATTTTTCAGGGTAAATGCGCCTTTAAATTTTTCAAACATTTTGGAGAAGCTTCCATAATTGGCACAGGCCTTGTTCTGTGTATTTATGAATGCTTCAGAAGTGTGTGCCTAATCAAAAATTCAGTTTACACCTATATACTTAGGAATTTTTTTTTTTAAATTGCTGGGTTTGGTGTAGTTTAAGTACTGTGCATAATGTAGTAAAGCTATGCTTTCCAAAGCAATGTAATTTTTTTTGTTGTATGCTCAGTTGTGCAGAGTCGTGATCCTAGTACAAATGTGGTGTTACTGGAGGATGCTGCAGCAGTTCTGAGTGTGGCCGTAGCTGCTACCTGTATGGGTCTGACTTCTTTAACAGGTAAAATTCTGCCTCAAACTGAGGCAAGCAGGATGTGAATTTCTTCCTGAGCATGATACGAACACGGAGCATTTGGTTTATATTGGTTGACTTAAATACATCTCTACTCTTTTTGTGGTACTTGTACTGTGTAAGCATCTGGAGGTTTATACTGTTCTCTGATCTGATTTCTAGTAGTTTGAGTTGAAAATATTTAAAATTAAAAAAAAAAGTTTGGTGTTTTTTTTGTATATCTGTTGTTGGGATTAAGCTTGAAAGAGTACATGCAGATGGGTCTAACTTCCTTTTGAGCTATTTTGTCATACAAACTAAGGTATTTTTTACTGAAGGTATATTTATTATAGTCAGTCATGTAAATCACTTTGTGCCATAGTGGGGTTACATAATTTGAGTTTCCTTATTCAGTGGTGTGGAGCTCCATGTGCATGTGGGGAGGATTTAAGGAAGCAGTTCTTTCCCTCCCTTTGATATGTAGTGGTATTAGTGTTATCTTGAAATTGCAATAGCTGCTCCTGAACAGTGTGGCAAACCTAACCCACGCAGGTAGGTTGATCTATATGGCAACTGATTCAAAGTCTGTCTTTGCACAGTTAAGTTTTCTAAAGAGGGAAGATTATTCATTTGTTGCTTTTTAAGTATTTGCTTTGGCTTTTCAATGGTTTTAAAAAAAAAATGAGAATTTTGTTTCTTTGTGGCTTCTAATGAGTTAATTGCAAGTTTCATTTTTTATATAGAAGTAATTTTTTTTTATTCCATCTCTAGTTTCTTTCACAAACTTAAAAATACCTTACTGTTTCTACAAATCTGAATATGAATGAATACATGTTTTAAATGTATTAAATTTTACTGTATTCCAGAAATGGCTAATACTTGCAAGTTACTAATAAAAGAACACAGACTTTTGTGCTACTGCCTGTGTTTAGGTGTATATAATTTTTTATTAATAAAGGTAAACCTATACACAGAAACCCAAATATCTGACAAGAATTTACTCGTCTATTAGTCCTGCAGGAGACAGGAGTGGCTGAGTGACAGGAGGAACTTGAGACTTTATCTTAAGATAGCTTGTTTTCTTCCAGCCTCATCTTGTTCCTCAGTGAGAAAGGATTGCCAGTGCATTTAAAAACAAAACAAACCCAAACAACAACAACAACAACAAAACCCCAAAAATCCCACCAAAAAGGAAAAACCAAAAAAACCCTAAAACTATGTAATCTTTTCAGTGTGAAATCTGAATTATCTGCTATGTTTTAGAAATGCTCTGTGAAACTCATTTGACATGTCTTGTTTAGGAAACCCTTATTATGACAGTGTGGGGTCTCTAGGTGTTGGAACTTTGTTAGGAACTGTGTCAGCATTTCTAATCTACACTAACACGGAAGCCCTACTGGGACGATCCATTCAACCTGAACAACTGCAGCGACTCACCGAGTTACTGGAAAGTGATCCTGTAGTAAGGTAAGAATCATTACAGCACAGTCTCTACTAAGAACAACAAAACGCAAAAACAGTGATTCTGTGCAAGAAAATAACATTCAGAAAAAATAGTTCAAGCACTTTAAGTTAGAGAAATCTGATGTGATTGATTATTTTTAGGGTGGATTCTTCAGTATTGAGATTTTAGAATCTTAATTATTACTAACTTCTATTTCTGTGCTAAACATTTCAGTAAGTGAATACTCCTACCTCTCAGATGTTCCACAGATGAAATAAAGTTGCAAATATGTTCTAACATTAATTACAGGAATTGACAATGACTTAATGAGAAAGCATCACAAACTTAAAACTATTTTCGAGTGCATGAAATACAAGCAGTTAAGTGATACTGTAATGTTGCTTTTATAGTTTATTAGCACTTTAGTTCTGTTACTGTTAATATTTAGTGTCTGGAATTCTGTAGCAGTTGGCAGTGAAGTGCTGCAGTAATATTATGATGTAATAGATTCTGCATGTTAGAAGCTTACAGAATGAACTCAATGGTAATTTCTTTTTCTTTGGAAATCTGCAATTTGTAGCGAAATAAACTTACAGCTCATTGTAATTCTGAAATTTGTTTAAATGCTTTTTAAGGAGCTATTTTAACTTTAACCCTATTAATCTAGATTTAGAAGCAAAACCTGTTTTGTTTGCTTCTTCATATTTATTCAGGAATATATTTCTGTGTAAATAAGCTGGAATATTTCAGTGCTTTTTTAATTCATAGTCATTACTGAGCTCTAGGGGGGGGAAAACCCAAACCCATTAGTTACCGCCAGTATACCTGAAAGAAACTAGGTGCTGCATCATTTCAGTTGCAAGCAACAGGTCTGAACGACATGCCTTTCATTCCAGAAGCTAAACAAGATGCCTATTTTGGAGTAGAATTGTGTTAGAATTGTCATGTATCAGGAACTAAACTCTGTTCAAGTATTTGTGGTGGCCCTGGGTTAGTCTGAATGGTGCAGCATGTCTCAACAGAGCTGTGTTAGAGTAGGTGAGGTCACATGGTTATTTTTATGCGACTTATGTAGCTCTTTTTTCCAAAATGTACAGGTGACTTTTGCTTGTCTCAGGCTGGAATCATAGAATTTCTCCTATCCCAAGCACCATTTTGTAGGGTATTCCATTTTGTAGATGGATATAACTTCTGAACAGAGCAGACTCAGTTCATCTCCTTCTTCCTGTAGACTTTTTTTTAAAAAAAAAAAACCCAAGTAGTAACTTAATTTTTAAAAAGCACTAAGAATAAAAAAGGTGAAGACTTGGTAAGAAACTGTATGTTTCTTTTAAGGTTAGAGGCTGAAACATGTTTAGGTACTTCTCATAACACTGTTTCAGGACCTTCTGTATGCCATTTGACTTGAGTGATCTCTTAGATCCGTTACGTTACCCACTTTGATTTCTTTTAGCCCACATGTTGTCTTTGACCAGATTCTTGTAACAAGCCTAATATCTTAAGCTTGGTTAACTTACATCTTCTAATAAGACACTTGGTCTTGATCCCAGAATTCTCTGAGATGTAAACGTACATTACCCTTGCTTGTAACTAAGCATAATTTGGGGGAAAAGCTACCTACACTATTTTTTTTTTTCTTATTCCAACCTTTGATGAGTTAGGGTTTTTTTTGGTTTTTTTTTTTTTCAACTTTTTCCTGTGAAATGAGGAAGTCTTTTAGCATCAAATATTTCTTCAGAAGGCTACTTTTACATAGCTTTGGGCTTCTAAGTTTCATCATTTTCCTGAACATTCGAACTTTTCCATTTTCTTAAATGGAGTTACGTAGTAGTATGTCCTACTCCTGCTGCTGACACCAAATGTAAAAGAAAAAGCTCCTGAGTACTAGTCTGCTTCTAATGCTGTGACTAATACTTGTTCTTTTTATTTCAACCTTTCAAGGTTTTCAGCTGAGTTCTCAATGAAGTCCTTTTTGCAGTTGCTGCTTCCCAGAACATCCTCACTCATTCTTTCAGGGAGGGTTTACAATCTTTATTTTCAGATATGTTCTGCCAAATATGAAGGGCATATATTAGGGAATCACGTAGTATTCATTGGAATGTATTTTAGATCCAAATTGACCAAAGGATCCAGAGGCTCTGGTTTCCATTCCCCCCTGTCAGCACCACCACCACTTAACTTACTATTCCAGCAGTAGGTTGCCTGAACATCATGTTCCACTACTAATTATAAAATATTTGATTTATCAGACAATGCTAACTGTTGTACTGCTAAAATAAATAATCTCTATGTTGTCGATCTTTTTTTTCAGCTAAATCTTGATATTTATTTTTTTTTTAACAAAGTTGTTTGACAAGATCTACATGCCCTAAAAGCTTAATGACTGGGATTAATACTCTTAATATATAATTTTTCCCCCACCTTTTTCACTGCTTTTCCTTGGATTGTCAGGTGTAGTTGTCTTTAGTTAAATGGATTGCCTCATTTGCTTTTCTTAAATTTTGGCACAGTGTTTGTTGTAATTCTCTTTTTTTTTTTTTTTTGAAACTCTCATCAGTATTGCAGGATGAAAAAATTAATTTGCATTCACAGTTACTCTTAGTTCTTTTTACTCTTGAGTGCAAATTATGGACCCTGCTGATTTAAAAGTTTTTTTTTTCCTTTTAAATATCCAATACTAGTAGGGAAATGCTTTGTTGTACTAATATATTGTTTTGCTTTTTTAGATCAAAAAAATAATGGTTATTGCACGTTTCTGCCTATTCTGTATCATCAGTAACAGTTTTACCATTTCCGTCTAGCAGCAGGCTTGTTTCCAGGTTATCCTTTGGTTTTGCTGAACTTTTAAATATGTTGGTTGCCTTTTTTTTGTGCTTCTTCTATCACTTTGCTGGACTTCATGATTTCTTTTTTAGGCTCATGGCTATTTGTTTTCCCTTTCTTTTCATTTTGCTTGGTAATTGCTACTTATAGCCCTTATTTCATTTGTGATCCAGAGTGGGTCAGAGTTGTTCTCAGCTGGAAAATTATTTTATTTTTTGCTATAGAAACATTCCATTCTTAACTCTTATTCACACCTTTGGTGCCTAAATCTTTCTTGTGTTCAGCTTAACTGAAGTGTAGGAGATTAGGCTTTCAGAACTGTGAAATAAAATGTAGGATGTGGTACAGACTGTCCTGATTCTGTTCTTATGGAGTGTAATCACAGATCCCTAGGCATAAACTACTCTTAGTGACAGTTTCATCTTTGATTTTCAGTAATTGTGCTGTTGTCATGCTGGAAAATCTGTCATTCTGGTTTGGAGGGAGAAAAAAAAAAAAGTATCACAACTGATGGCTCAAAACCGATAACTTGACGTCCTCTGACAAATTTCTCTTTAATGTGAAACTTGCTCTTTTCCCTAATTTGAATTGATGGTGTCTACTAGCCATCCAAAAGCTTCTGTAAGCAAGCTTTGGAGCTTAAGTTTTAGCATACACATTTGTATTTTTGAATTATTAGTGATTTTTCTCCTCCTAAGTCACTGTCTTATCTTTCCTGGACAGATTATAAGCAGTAAGGTAGACGTTTTTCTTCACATTTGCAGAATATGCATCATTCCACTGAATTTTATCAGGTTACTGCTTAATGAGACTCTCAGATAACTCTTGTTATCTTCTTGCTTCATTGTGATAGGCACTTGATATATCTTCAACATTTTGAATCACATGGATTCAAATTCTCTTCAATAACCCTCGTTGAACCACATCTGTTATCTTAAATACCTTCTTGTGTGAGGAGGTAGTTTGATGCCAATTATGTTACTCCGGTTAATACTGTTTTGATTTGGTAGCTTCCCACAGAATAGCTGTGTAAATTTGATTGGGGCTGGAAATTCTTTATTGCTACCAGTAAGCTGATAGTTCTTTTAATCTGCTTAAATGTTTACTAAGATGTATTTTTTTGGTGTCTCTATATTTAGTTCATGTTCTGTTTCTTTTTTAATGTGCTTAACCCTCCTCCACCCTCAGTATTATAAGAAATATTCCATAAACATTTCCTGTGGCCTTTTAAAAATACAGGATCGTTTGAGTCTGGTGATATTGTTAACAACAGAAGTCAAACTAGCTAGTCGTTTGGTTTATGTTGTTCTACATTTTCTTTAAAAATTATGTATTTCAGAGCAATTCATGATGTTAAAGCTACAGACATGGGAATGAGCAAAGTGAGATTCAAGGCAGAAGTAGACTTTGATGGACGGGTTGTTACTCGTTCTTACCTGGAAAAACAAGACATTGAACAGCTGCTACAAGTATGTTTAAAACCATGATTTTGTAACTTTCAGTATTTGATGTGTACTTTCCAATTTCAAGTATGTCTAAACCCAAGATTTTCAAGTAGGTGAGATATATTCCACTTCTTCATTTTGAAGGATTGCAGACATTTTTACTTTGTCTTAGCATGTTAAATGTCCGTACACAGAATCGTATTATGTGCTGTTGAAATAGGGCCACTTCTGGGCTGAGTAGGGCCTGGGTAGAAGGAGGGCAGAGTTTTTGTTAGAAGATATGGATTTATCCAAAATAATTTTGATGAGGGCATGATTCTTCCAATAAATTTTTATTGAATTACGATATCTCCAGTTAAAACTGGAATTCTGTCACCTGAGAATAAGCACCTGTTTTGCAGAGCTGTTTGCTTTGAGTGCTGAAAAGGCAGCATTACAGTTTACAGATCCTGTAAACTATTCATATACTGAATACTGTATTCAGACTAGGCTTGAATATGGATTGCTTGCATCACATGACTTAGCATTTTGACAGCATGTAACACTTAACCATCCTCAGGGAAGGGTGTCTGATTTTAGTGTTGTTCAGTGTAGCTTTTCTTAATCACTCTCTTCAATATAAAAATGCAAACCCGCTTTCAGTTGGATTCTACGTGGCAAAGCTATGAAGTGAGGAATAATTTATCTAAATTACAAGGAGAGTTTTAAGTGAGCAAAATATTTTCGGTTGCTTACCCATTTTCACCAGTAGTCTGCTTATATATATTTGCTTGTGTACCTACAAGATTTCTTTCTTTGCTACCCTTTCAAAATGAAAAGTAGATGTCAGATGTCTGCATTTTATGTCTGTCTGTTAAACACAACTTAGAAGTTACCTGAGTTTACATTTAAATTACTGCAATTTCTTAAGCAGTAATTTAAAAAGCACTTTAAAAAGTACTGCCATTTAATGTCAAAATAAGAATGTATATGTATGATATATATATA